ATTTATTACTTGTGTAATAATTCTGAGCACTTGTAAGAAAATCAGATCTATTTGATCTGAACACAGTATAATACAATTCTTCCAAGAGGGACACAAGCTTAGTGACATAGATAATATTTCCCTCACTATAGATCCAAGGAATTACACATCTGTAGTGAATAATGTTTACATAATCATAATATTATAATGAGGTTTTACTGGTTTTCCCTTTTCAGCACCAATTTATAGTTAACACATGGAAGATTTAACAGTAAGTTACACAACAGAAAATAAGTATCATAAATCTTTAGAATGTCCACGTGGTGGGACAGTTAACAGAAGATGGGAATGGGAAATGTAGGGTGGTAATTTCATCATACATAATAGGGACAGTAAAGAAAAACTATCTACAATCGACGGATCAAAAAACAGTGGTTTAAGTATATTGTTTAATTTAATTTTATTATTTATTTATTCATTTATTTATTTTAAGTATATTGTTTAATTTTAAAAGGTAAGTAGTAGCAGGATTAAAGAGAAAAACATGACAAGAAATGAGAAGTAGTTAAGTTAATAAAGCTGATAAATTAATAAACAGATATAAAATATTATAGTTGAGATGTTACAAAAATTTTAAAAAACTGTCAAAAGTACTTCTGAGGAATGGAGCACAAGATGGGAAGATAAAATTTTACTTTTCACTTCTATCTTCCTGTATTGTGTAAATTAATTTTCCATGCATGTTTTACATTTATAATTTTAAAAAACTGATGCTAGTTCCTTACTGTATTAAAACAGAAGCAGGGCTCAACAATTTAGAAGAGAGTAGAGAAAAGGAATCAAAAAGTGAAGGTGAAGTCTTTTGGAATAAAGCTAAAAGGTACAGAATTGGATTATGTGAAAAAAGAGGGGTAAAAAGTAATTTTAAAAAGTCATTTGCAGGAACACGGATAAACCTTATTATGCTAAGTGAAAAAAGTCACACAGAGAAAGATAATACTGTATGAGCTTACTTAAACATGTAATCTTAAAAAAACAAACTATGGAAACAAAGAACAGATTGGTGGTGGCCAGAGGGGTGGTAGTGGTGGTGGGGGGAATGAGTGAAGGGGATCAAAAAGCACAAACTTCCAGTAATAAGATAAGTAAGTTCTGGAGATATAACGTATATAGCATGGTGACTCCCGCAAACAAAACTATTGCATATCTGAAAGTTGGTAAGAGACTTTAAAAGTTCATCACACGAAAAAAACCCTGTAACTATGTGAGGTGGTAGATGTGGCAAGTAAATTTATTGTGGTGATCACTTGGCTATATATCTCATCACTGTACTCCGTACACTTACACAATGTTACATATCAATGATATACGAATAAGCTGGAATGAGTCTACACAAAAACATGGTTACCTGTGATGGTAAATGAGCCTTTATCCTAAAAATAAAGGAAGCCAAGCTGCAGCTACTTCAGAAAGGACTCAGGGTAGCACTAAAGGAAAAAACATCCTGTTGCAGGATGTACAGAGTCTTACAGGGAGACATTTGGAGAAGCTCATTCTCCAGGTCTGTCCAAAGTCTGTCCTCTGATTTCCTGACCTGGTAGAATGCTAGCAAGAGGCAGGGGTGTGATCTCTAAAGATCCTATAGATTTCATTTATAACATGACTCACATACTTTATTTCAATAAAAAGCAGACTACAATTTCTGAAGCTAACAGTATCCTCTAGGGGACTGCTCTGGAGTATATCAGGAAAGGCTTTCTTCTTTTATCAGCTGCATATCTTCTATTATATTTCTTAACACCTAACTAAAAAAATGAAAGGCACAGTAGATTCGGGTTGTACCTATAAACATGAAATCATAACCTTTGGTTCCATTGATTCTTAGAGGGTTAACAGGCACTTGCCTTCCTGTTCTTAAAATATATTATTTATTAATCTATAAAACACCTATTGCTGTAGCATATAAGTGCTAACATGGAAGGTTAAAAACATATAAATTATTTAAATCCACCAACTAATGGACATAAAATATATTAAAAAGGGGGAAAAGGATGTTGATGACTTAATACAAAGCTAATGGTAAGGAGTTAATGCCTTTCTGAATCAAGAAAAAACCCATTTGAATAAATATAAAACCATTATGACATGTATCTACGTCAGCAGTTCTTGTCAACCAGTTCTTGTCAAAAAGCCATACTGTATAACACCTTCAGCAGGGGGACATAAAGAGATGAAGAATCTAATTTATAACACATAAAATGACAGACAGGATGGGTGATGGTAACCAGTGAGATGTGTAAAAGATGGGGAAGCAGAGGGTCTGTCCTGTGAGCTGTATACTCAATGAGCAATGGCTCTGAAAAGATAAACGGGCAGTTGTTCATGAGCCGTAAAGGCCTTCCTATTGTATGAAAAGGGTTCTAGGAGCTTGGAAATAAGTTAATCACTTCATTTCCCTGTTTCCACCATCTAGCTTGGTTTAGCCCTCTTTAATAATGCTCTATGATACAATGGAAAGAGCCCTCATTTTCTCTTTTGGAAAATGAGGACAACATCCCATAAAGTGTTTTATATTCAGGACAAAATGAGACAAAATACGGGAAACTAACGGAGTACTAGTTACTAAATAACTGCTAGTTTCCTCTTCCAATGGCAGAGATGGCCACAAGACATGTGCTCCACTGAGAAGTGGCTGCTGCCAGCAAAGCCATGTTTCTCAGCCCTCCCAGCATCCAGTGTGGTAACTGACTACTTCTCCCCAGTGGAATACAAGTGGAAGGGATGGTCACTACACCCAGGCCAAGGCTGTTCAGAAGAGCCAGGTATACCTTCTTTCTGTTCTTTCCTCATCTGTCAGCTAGATGCAGATGATGATGATGAAGCCCTAGATGGGAGCAGAGCCCCAAGAAGGAAGATGCCTGGGTTCTTCAATCACCTGTGGAGAAGAGCCACCTGACAACCAGAAATACCCCTACTGACTGCTACATGGCTGAGAAATAAGCTTTGTGTTAAGGCACTTTAATGTTGAGGCCACTTTTTGTTATAGCAGCAAATGTTACCTTAACCAAAGCAAACATTAAACATGCTCTGTGATAAGTACTATAATAATGATCGTAAGGGTATCAGACATTGCATCAAACAAGCCATTATTAATGCTCTTATGAAATCCTGGCCAAGTAAGTACACAAAAAGATGTTCAACATCATTAGTCATGAGGGATATGCAAATTGAAACCACCACTTCACTCTCACTAGGATACGAGGAACGAGAAGATAGAGAGTAACAAGTACTGGCAAGAATGTGAAGAAGTTGAAAGCTTCCCGCATTGCTGGTGGGAATGCAAAATGGTGCAGCTGTTGTGGAAAAATCTGGCAGTTCCTCAAAAACTTAAACACAGAGTTACCATAAGACCCAGCAAGTCTAATGCTAGGAATAGATCCAAAAGGACTGAAAATGTATGTTCATACAAAATCTTGTATAGCAATGTTCCCAGCAGAAATCCTCATTTTAGCCAAAAAGTGCAAATTGTTCAAATGTTCATCCACTGATAAATGGATAAACAAAATGTGATGTGATATATATGTATATATGTATATTTATCCATATGATAGAATATTACTCAGTCAGTAAAAAGGAATGGACTGCTGATACATGCTGCAACATGAAATAAGTCTGAAAAAAGTATGTACTAAGTGAAAAAAGCTAGAAGATCAAATACTATTTAATTCCATTTATATGAAGTGTTCAGAATGTGCAAATCCATAGAGAGAGAAGGGAGCTTACTAGGTGGGAGGGGCTGTGGGAACTGGAAGGAAATGAAAAGACTGCTAATGGGTAGTAGGTATCCTTTTGGGTGTGATGAAAATGTTTGAAACATTAGATAGTAGAGATGATTGTACAACCCTGTGAATACACTAAAAATCACCGAATGGTGCATTTAAAAGGGTGAATTTTATGGTATGTGAATCATATTTCAATAATAAAGAGAAATCTCAGCTATTTGCTTTATCTTGCTTCCCAGAGAATCTGGCTCTACACAAAAAAGCACTGAGCTCTTTTTAGGTAACGATTGGGAAAAGGTATGATTCTAGGATACTGGAAACATGCTAATTTTGATCTGAGTGAGTTATATGGGTATATACACATGTAAATAATCATTCTAGTCATGATCTTAGGCCAGTCAGAACTCACACAATCCTTCCTCCTACTTTCCTCCACAACAACGTAAATGCAAACAGAGGCCCAATGCCATATGCATGAAATGACTAGAGATGTACCAAGCTTTCCTTGGTTTAGGTAACAGTGTAGCTAACACTGAGATGAGATAAATATTTAACGCTAAGCCTGAGAATCATATGAGGCTAGAAAATGGAGTCCCAGAATAACTACTAAAGTGTGTATCACATCAGCAAAATTCTCCAAGAAAGAAAAAAGTTCCAAAGAGGTAGTGTGCAATATTGGGGGCAGGGACACAAGAGAGGATTGCATATGGAAATCCTTCTTTTCCCTGCTCAGGTACATGCCATTTTCTTTTCTTAATTTTTATTTATTTTAAAATTATTATTATTTTCATTTTTAGAGAGAGCAAGAGAGTGTGAGATGGGGAGAGGGGCAAAGGGAGGGACACACACACACACACACACACACACACAGAGACAGAGAGAGAGAGAGAGAGAGAGAGAGAGAGAGAGAGAATATCCAAAGCAGACTTCACAGGGCTCAACCCCATGACCCTGGGATCATGACCCAAGCCGAAATCAACAGATTCTCAACCAACTGAGCCAACCAAATACCCCTACATGTCACTTTCAAGAGTCAAGTTCAAACCACAATATAAAGAAAGCTTTGTTTGAGCATATAAAATAAATTCTCATCGAGGTACTTAATAGTCAAAATTAAAATGAAGAATCATCAGGAGTAAGAATGTAATTTGGTGATTCCATGAATCTTCATTAGAAACTTCTGAATCCATTAGACAGACTCTTAAATTGGAATAAATCCTGTGAAAGCATGTAACTTACTTGCAAGAGACTTTAGTTCTGTCGGCCACCATGGTCCACTGTTGCTGGTTGGTGGAAACCTCAATGTAGTAGCTATAGCTTCGATCATCACAGTCCCAAAGTAATAACCTGGACAAAGAAAAATACGTAAGAATGCTGTGAGTGTTCTAACTGGCTGTTTCCTGAGGCTGTGGGCATGAGCGAATCCATGTCTGCTTTACCCCTCCTACCTGCCTCTTTTGCCCCACCACACTTCCAGGACTGAGGAAAGAAGAGAATCCTGGCAAAAGTACGGTAAGAGGAGGTGGAGTCAGTCTACAGAAGAAGCAGTGTCTCTTTAGGAATTTACTTCACAAGTCACCCAATCTCAGGCAGCCTCCGTCAACGCTCTTTGGTTTGGCTTATTGGTGAGAAGATGTCTCCAAACTCTCTTTCCTGATTCATTTCCAGTAGGTTGGCTGGGCTGACCAAAGGCAATATCCTTGAAACTCCTGTTCATGGGGAAATCTGTGCTTTCTAGTTGGTAATAACTAGTATGCCCCAATGACTTTAACTATTATGTTTTAAATTCCTTCTCATTCTTAGCAGACTTTTGGCATAGCTGTAGTATAATGGTCTGATTTGGAGATACAAGCAAACATATATTCATGAGTAAAACTTATTATTTAGAGATTATTTTGGTTCTGTTCTTCAGCATAGACTATGTCATTTAATTTACATGAAGCTCAAAAAAGACAAAACTCATCTATGGTGACAGGAATCAGAACAGTGATTACCTCTGGGAGAGGTAATGGTTGGGAAAGGGTATGAGGGAACCTTCCAGGATGCTGGAAATGTGCTGTCTCTGACTGAGTGGTACTTTATGGCTATACACACAGTAAATATTCAGCTGCACTACACATAAAAGAGTTGTGCACTGTCTGTGTGTTATTCCTCAATTTAAAAACTAGAATAAGAAAAAAGAATCTAAGTATTGCATACAGGATTAGACTACAGTCTAGCATTTTGCTTCTGACAGTGCCACAGTGGAAACAGATGAGAGACCACTGTTTTCTGTGATTTCAGCCTCAAAAGTCTTTCCCATACATGTTATTTTACCATTTTACATTTGGTCATGCACATTTGCTTCCTCCACCAGCTAGAACAGATAGTGAGTTCCCTGAAGGCAGTGCCAATGTCTTATTGATCTTTCAATACCCAGTACTCGGTGCAGAGTCTCAAAGAGCCTATATTCAGTGAATGTTTATTTATTATGATGATGATTATTACTATAATAGCCAACATATCTTTAAGGCTTATACTGTGTACCAGGCCCTGTGCTCTATATAACTTATCTTGTTAAATCCTTCCAAAAATCCCCTTAGCAAGCATTATTATTCTCATCAAATTATATTTAATTTTATATATAGCATATATATCTAATGTATATATTCCATCTAAATATAAAATATTTGAGGGAGACAGAGACGGAGCGAGTGAGAGCGCATGTGTCTGACATGGCGTTTGATCCCATGACCCTGGGTTCATGACCTGAGCTGAAATTCAGAGTCGGACGCTCAAGTGACTGAGCCACTCAGGCGTCCCTCTCATCAAATTATAGATGGTGAAAGTAAGGCTTAACACTGTTGGGTAAAGTGTCTATACTTAGTGTTGGCAGATACAGGGGGTTCAAACCCGGTATCTTGACCGAAGCCCATTTCTGTCATCCTTCTGCCAAGTGCTTCTTTTTTTTTTTTTTAAAGTAATTTTTTTTAATATTTTTATTTATTTCTAGGAGAGAGGAGAGAGAGGCAGCTGAGCAGGGGAGGGTCAGAGAGAGAGGGAGACACAGACTGAAACAGGCTCCAGGCTCTGAGCTGGCAGTCAGCACAGAGCCCGACGCGGGGCTCGAACCCACGAACCGCGAGATCATGGCCTAAGTGAAAGTCGGACGCTTAACCGACTAAGCCACCCAGGCGCCCCAGTGCTTCTTTACTCCCAGTTTATGGACCTGGGTCCCAATTTACAACCTGAAACCTATGACTCTACAAAAGCAGTTTATTTTTCCTCAATCTTGTGATTATAATCAATAAAAACCTTTTGTGCAAGCTCAGTTTAGTGTCACCTCCAATGCTACTATTTGGGATCAGAAATGACACTGTGTTCCCCTTTCCCCTTAATCTTTGTTTCTTATTTCAAGTTTGCTATCAAACTAGTAATTCTGTTTGCTACCACTGACTAAACCCATATTACCTAATACTTTGGAATTCATCTTTTAAGTAAAGCAGAAACAGAGTTTATTTTAATTCACCTGAGTATTCCCCTTAATTCACCAGAGCATTTCATCTCTCAAAGTACTCTGAATGAATCAGACAGGATTCCACCCTATTGTTTTAAGCATCTAATAATTCTGCTCTTAGATTTTACCAGCTTGCCTGGTAAGAAAGTGAATCATTTCCCTCATTAGTCATTTCCTTGAATATTATTCTAGTTTCTTAGCACTTTTACGCAGTTAGCCTGTTAATTTACATTTGTGTTGAGTAACTTTTAAAAGTGTAATTTTTGTTTCTATGTTTGTCTAGCTCTTGTGAAGATTAGAGAAAGACTGCTGATCTTTCTCTCTTTAAAAAATTGTACTCTGAACATATGGGTTCTGTTCATAGTATATGTTCCATACATGTTCTGGGCTGAAATAACTTTTAACTCTGCCAGAGTAGATTAAAAACAAGAAAAACATCTTCAAATTAATTAGTCATTCACTATACTGAACAGCCTTGGTAACAGGCTTTTTGGAAAACAATGTTGAGGCTATTTCCTCGAAGGGATGTTGGATTTTTTTATGCAGAGCCAGTTTTATGATAATCCCTATCCTTCTGGATAATCATGAGTTAGTGTTTCTACCAGTGTGTCCAAGTGAAAATAATCAGGCCTTCTGGGATAGAATCTAACCAGATTCCAAAATATTTCATGGAAAAAGACTGGGATATGGGAGATGAAGAAGATAAAAAGGAAGACCAGTTGTAAGTAAGCATCCTAAATGCTCTGGTAGAAATTCTTGGGAGTGATAGGATATTAAAAGAATTATTAAGGTTGTACATATTTTGTCCCATAGTAGCTTTTCCTATAAGGTCCTCCATCTTGTTTTGAGACAAATTTATATCTTAAAAGGAAGATCACCTGTAATTCCAATAATTTTGTAAACACAGAGACATGGTGCCAATTTTTTGTAACTTGCTTCTTTTGCTTAACAATGTATTATGAATACCTTTTTTTTTGTATCTATCAAATATTCTTCCTCATCACATGTCCTGGTTTCACAGGCTTTCACTGTATGGATGTCCCATAAATTATTTTATCAGTTTCTTATTAGTGGACATTTAGGTAGTTGATAGGATTATACCACTAGGAAAACTCTGTGATGAACGTTCTTAAGCCAAATCTCTGACTACTGCGTGTGAAAGCTTCTGTAAGTGAAACTCCTGGAGCAGAGCATGGAGGCCTTGATGTGTATTACCAACCAGCTGCACACCTCTCCCCTTTTCCCTAAACAAAAGTCTGTGCCAATTTATACTCATATGACCTGTAGTGTGTAACCAATGCCTGTTTCTGTGCATGATTGATACTGTGTATTATCCTTAAAAATACTGCCAATTCGAGAGATGAAATCTCTGTCATTAATTTGCAGCTTTTTACTTATCATTGAACTTGAACAATTTACCCATTTTCTACTTTTATTTATCCTTTTGCTAATGACTTACAAGATGCCCTCTAGATTTGAAGGATATTAATCTGCTGCCCATCATAGTTTGCATGCTGAAGATATTAATTTTTATTAGCTCAGTCTATCGATCTTTACTTCAATAATTTCTCCTGGCCTAAATTCTTTTTTCTGAACAGCGGCCAAATGCACATAGTGGTTGAGACATCTCCTTTCTATTCCTCTATTACGAGTCCCTGGGGGCTGGAAATGGGGGGTCATGGTGACTCCTGAGAAGGGACACTGATGGATCTCAGGTTATCAAGCCACCTACACTTTGGAGTTTTTAAGAGAGATTCTAATTCATGTGCCAGGACGCACATTTGCTTGGAATTTAGGCTTAGCTAGGAAGGAAAATTCTTTTCTTGATTCAACTGAAAAAAATCAAGCACATTCTAGGGACACTAGAGGAAAAACTGGCTCCATCTCTTTTTTCCACAGAGAGAAATTTTGTTCTAATAAGGCACAATTGAAAAACCCACCAACTCCCTCACTTTTTTTCTTGCCAGCAAAGTCTGTTCCCACGTCTGTGCACCTGCAACAACACTGAGATACTTCCGATTTGTAATCTGCCAAGGAAGGGTTGCCCGGTGAGCTTGCCCAGGACAGACACACCCCCTCTGACCTTAACTGAGAGGAGTTCCTTAAACATAGCCCCCTACATCTACACACCTCCACCCAGACATCAGAAGCCATTTTCAAAAGGGGCTGAATAAAGGAAGCCGCTGGCCAAGATCTATTGATACAGATCAGGTCTGTACTTAGCTGTTGCCACGAACCCCTCTACCTAATGAGCACTGCATGAGATGTCTGGTGATCTTAAACATTGTCTCCTCCATCTTCCCTCAGACTCATTGTGGAATTTCCCTTAAAAGCAGTGAAGTGCTGGGCTTTTTGTAATTGATTAGCAGATGTGATTTTGCTTACATCTTCCATAAATGCTCTGGCTGGCTGCATACCATTGATTACCGGGGTTCGGTTTACAGCAACTAATTGCTCTCCTTGCTGGTGTTTTGATACAAAATTCAATAGCGAATATGTTTTCAAAACTCTTGTCTTTGCGGCTTGAGTCAGAAGTGACTTGGGGCAAACCCAATGGACTGAGTTTTCCCTTCTTTAAAATAATTGCTCTCTCATCAGTCTGTGAAGAAAGTTTCCAAATTGTAGCATTCTAATTGGAAAGTCTGCATTATGCATGCGATGACAAACTATGTTGTGCTGAATGGCATTTTTTTCATCCCTTTCTTAAGGGATTAATTCTGTGCCAGATTGTGAAACAGTGCTGAGGTTTAAACAGTGGAGATCAACAGCTTCTCTGCTAAACTGATATCTTTTAGGTCAGCAGCAAGTGTCTGTTCTGCCTAACTGTCCACTGTCCATGGGAGACCCCACT